TTCTTTCTGCTTAATGGATATTATAGCATAGCCGTTTACACGCTATAGTTAAGGTTGTGTCAGCACTTCCATTTATAACATCCCCCTCTTACCAAGAGTTTATAACTCGCTATAAAAATCCGCTCTGGGCTGAAACTTTTCAAGCAAGGGCTCAGATCTTTAAAGGTCCTTCCTTCCCCCACCAAAGAACAATTGGAAATGTGTGGCTGCTTTTTTTTTTTTTTTTTTTTTTAATATATGAATTAAAAAGTTAACCCCCAACCCCAGTGTTTTTCCTTCGCTTGGGTGACTTGGGGAGGAAGAGGCTGCGTTTCGCTGGCTGCCAGCTCACATATAGCAAAAAATGAAAAAAAGAGCCCGGTGTGCATGTATTATTATTGTTGTTATTAAGGGAAACAATTAGCGTGAGAGCTGCTGCCGGAGGCTCGGCGAGCCCTGCGAGCCGCCGCCCTCCGCCCCGCTGAGCGCGGGGGCCCGATCCGGCGGTGCTGAGCCCCGCGGCAGGGGAGGGGGGCGCAGGGGTGCTGGGCAGGGCACCGGGCAGGAAAAGCGCTTCCCTGGCACCGGCTGCGATGGTGACACACAGCGGAAACCCGGGGATGTTTAAATACCGGGCCGATGCTCCAGCGTCTTTATTTCGATTAGAGTGGGTTGGGGACTAGGGATGGAGTGGCTGGGTGAAATAATTCTGGAAGAGGGAGGACATGGCAAAGGACATTTCGGATTCTGTCCCCACTACAACAGTTTAATGGCAGGGGCTTTGTACTTCATAATTATTGCTCTGAGCGCCTTTTCCTACCTGTTGGTAGGTAAGTTAACACGTTGGACTGAGGACCTCTAATGAGAGCACGAGTATAACTCAAACATCACAGGGCTCTCCGTCTATTCCAGTCCTAATTTAATTCATGCAGGGAAGTTGGTTATAATTTCCTTGTCGCTCCTGCAGCTTTCTCCATTGGCTGTCAGTTGCAATGTGAATGTAAGCAGGCAGTGCCCAGTCACCTGCTCCATTCATTTCCAGCCAGCCCGAGAAGGGAACCTGACCCGCTTCACCATTTGGCTCTGGTAACTGCAACGTGACCGAGAGGCTCAAATCCACACAAGGATTATTTGAGCTGCTGACTTTGAAACGTATTCTCTGGAGTCAGAAGAGAGACTTAAGAAAAAAAAAATAATAACAATAATTTGTAAATAAGCAAGAAGCTTAATTGGCGTTTGGTATTTGCAATTTACATATATGCGCGTGTGCGCGTTTTGGGGTATGTTCTGTACGTGTCGGGCGCAGGGGAGGAGGGAGGGACGGGCTGAGAAGATTCCCAAGCCGTCGGTTATTGCCTCTCTCAGTACAGCGCGTCCTTGGTCAGAACATCAGCTAGCATCACCGGAGATAACACTCATTTCTCGTGAGGATGAAGGGGGAGAATGGAAGGATACCCTCTGGGGCCAAAGCCTGCCCTCTCACGCAGGCGACGAACATCCCCGGAGCCAGTGAGATGCCTCGCGGGACCAAAGACGGCAAAAGATGCTCTGGCGCTAAAGTGATTGGGTTAGCCAGGGGGTAGCAATCTGCCAAGCCCCGACCGATTCCTCCCCCAGTCCCGTGCTGGGAATGTGCAGTCGTTTCTTTCAACTTTCTAGCCGAGATATGCATATTAAACAATTAGCCCAGGTGGCAGTTTGCTCCCAGCTTCTCGTTTTGTGAAAACTTGTAAAGTGTTTTTTTTTTTTTTTTAAGGCTCCTGAAGTTTCTTCACTTCCTTTTTTTTTTTTTTTTTTTTTTTTTTTTGGGGGGGGGGTGTTGTTAAGAATGAACCATACGCAAATACAAACTGCAGTAAAGAGAATGAGAAAGCAATCTCGCCATGCATTCTAGACTTTTTATGATATATGGTGGACTGTTCAGAAGTGTATGCTATTGTTAAAGCTGTTTGTGCCGGGTGTGCTAATGCACTGTTTGATTGAGTGAATTAGCAGTCATAACAATCTGGCAGTCTGGCCATAGAAGTGTGCTCAAATTGATTTGTGTTATGGCTGGACTGGAAAATCTAGTGTTAGTTGTTTTTTGCCCTGGGGCATTGTTTGTACCAAACTCCACTTTTCATTTAATTTTCCAATAGATTTTGAAAGACCAAAAGGTTTGTGATCAACGTTTGCTGCTCTTTATTATTATTCAGTTATTAAAAATATCCTATGAGTAATTTCAGATTCCCCAAAACCTTGCTTTCAATTAGAGTAAACATAATTAGCGTGACGTCGTGCTTGGAATGGTAAATCTCCCTTTGTATCTATTAAGCATGTTATCTACTTGTCCTGTCACTGAAAGGAATCCAGTTTGTATTTGTATTGGACAAGGTCTGTGCTAATTTGACTATAATGCAACAATTAGAAAAACAGCACTGCAGTATCCAGTTTCTTATTACTGGTACAACACTTCACATCAATCTCAACTGTATTCACCGTGTTTTCAATGTTTAGTAAATATCTTGGTGGAAGGGCAAAAAAGGGATCCCAGTTCACAGGCTCGCATTTCTATGGTTCTATTTTCCTGAACGATGCAGGGGGGATTCGGTATGAGGTCCCTCCTTCTTTCTCAGTCTTACCTCAAAATAACAGATAGCTCTTCAAAGGAGAACTACTGCTTAAGACCCTAGGGATTAACAGTAAAACAGAACTTACCTTCTCTTTGCCTGTGCTTGCTCCTTTCTTAAAGTCTTATGCTTGGCAGTCATTTGCCAGAATTATAACGCAGCATGATTAAACCTAAAACATTACTCTATTGATCACACAGAAAGCTTTGTGAAATCATTTAGTTTCTTCTCTTCAGAAATTGGTGAACAAAGTAGGTCACTGGATGAGGATAAGACAAGATACAAGAGAGAAATGTCTTAGGAAAATAAATTCAAAATAAATAAAGAAAAAAAAATATTTCAAATGAACTTAACATGGTAATATACAATTCATCCTCACCAGGTGCCTATCTTCTGTATGCATCCCCTCCCCCCCGGTCCATTCCTTCACGCACGTTCAAAAGACAAGTATTTATCTTTTTTTTTTTTTTTTTTTCAATCTGAATGAATTTAAATATTTAATTATCAATTATAACTGAAGAAAGGGGAGGGAACTGATGTACTGTCCTATCTCCTGTCAGTCGGTTACTCAGATTCCTTAAAATGCAACAGCTACAATACATTTTCTAATTGCATTTTACTCCTTACAGCTGCCCTCAAAAATTGTAATTTAATACAATAGTGAACCCCATATCAGTCTCTTTTTTTTTTTTTTTAGTCATAAATTACAATCACTGTCAATACATCTTACTGCTTTAACATACATTTTATTATAAGGAAATTTTCTAAAGAAAAAAGAGAGGGAGACAGAGAAACAGAGTGAATACCTGCCCTGAACAGTTATATGAGCAGAACAGAAGCCCTGCTTCAAACAATATTCCAGGAAAGAAATTAAAGACTTCTTAATTAGTGCAGCAATTAAGCTTTCTTGGTCGCATTTTAATCAGCCCAGGCCCTATCAAAGGACAAACAGAACGATTTGCAGGTCTTTGAATTTTAAACAGTCTTATTGATTTCAGCACCATAAGTCTTCACTTGACACAGGGAGAATTTTCAAATATCAGTTACAGTAATTTGAGTTTTGCTGATATCAACACAGGGACAAAAACGAAAACACCCAACAATACAGTTATATGAAAGGGTCAGCAAGTAACAGAAATGCAATCTAAAAAAAAAAAAAAAAAGTTTGCAAAGAGACACCTCAGGATTTGTTGGTGTGTTACGTGTGTGTGTGAGTGTATATGTGATTTGAAATAAATCCAGTCACTCACATAATCGTTAGAAACATTTAACAAGCAAGAAGCTTCAAGGAGTCTGGAACCCTTTCATAAATCTCTTATTTCCCTAGGTTTCTAATCCCATTGTTTCACTCAAAATGTGGTTAACCCAAACCTGTGGTAGTAAACCCTTTCAAACTACATTTTCTTTATATTGTGTTGAACCATGATGGATGTATGTCTGTGAGGGCACACAAGAAGAAGGCTGGTGTGCATCACATTGTAGGGAAGGTAGACAATAAATGAAATGGCAGGTTTTCTAACTAAGAGTTCACTCAGATGTTGAAGTGCCAATATCACGTGTGTCTGTCTCTGTTCTGATCTTCTCAATGATTTGTTTTATGTCTTCACAACATGTAAGAGAAGGTGAGATGCAAAAGGACGGTTGAGGCAAAGAAGACATGAACCAAGCTGGTTTGCTACATCTGAGAACAGAGCATTTTATGGTTTTCAGGGTATTCCAAGTTTTACGTCAACACTAGATCCTGCCACTGAAGCTGTATAAACTTCTCTGAAAAATGTTCTGAGAAACATCTGAAAAGGTGTTGAAGAAGTGTTCTGCACAAGTGTGTACATGAGATTTCAAAATGAAAGCCGCTTTGTATTTTCTTGGGCTTATTTGCCAGTTTAAAAGGTTTTAGTGTACGATAGCTAAAATTTCACGATCAAAATGACATCCTCTGTGGTATTAAAATACAAACGGCCTTCCATTGGAGTTGAAGTACTACCAGCAAGAAGACATATGAAAATGCTTTACATCTGATAGCATGGAAATTCCCCTCCACAGAATTACTACAGCTGAGATTATCCACTCAGTAGATGTGTCATCCCATGAGTCATATCTCACATAATAATACACATTAAGAAGAAGAAAAAAAAAAAAAAAAAACTATGGGCAGATACATGCACCACCATTAAACACAGCTCATCCTTTGAAACTGGTAAAATTTTACCCACGTTATTTTCGCACCTGCCCAGCTCTATGAATGAACATTCCTTCGCTCCTTCAGAGCGTGAAGTGCCCCTCGAGAGGAGCCAGCGCAGAGCTCTGGGCTCTCCCGACCAACCCGAGCCCGGCGAGCTGCCCAAAGCGCCACGATTCCCCTTCAGAACTCCATCCCAAACTTTGGCGCTGGGCAGGGAGCTCTGAGACCGCGGGGCTCCCGAGCAGGGCTAAGGGACTGCGCATGTGTGGGCAAGCGCAGCAGCTCATCTTCCGCGCTACCTGGCGCAGGCTGCGCGGCCACCTGTTGCGCGCCGCGCCTCGCTCCGAAGTGACTCCGGCGTCGCTCCGGCCACGTTTTCCGCCATCCCCTCCCCTTTCGCGGTGGATACGGTCGCCAGACCCGGTCCCCCGTGTCCCCCCCTAGATGTCGCCGCGCTGCGCTTTTTTTTTTTTTTTTTTTGCGTGGGGGCTGCGCTGCCCCGCTGCCGCCTACCCCCCGCGCAACAAAGGCGCTGCTGCCCCCGGACCCTCAGCTGCTGGGGGCTCGGGAGGACGACAGGAGCGACAAGGACAAACCCGTCCGGAGCCTCGCGCTTTGGTCCGCCGCTGCCCCCAGCCCCCGCCGGGGCGGCCGCAAGGTGTGCGGGCAGCGCCCCGCTTCCGACGGCTTCGGGGGAAGCTGGAGACTCCGGCGTTCCCCCACAAAGTGTGTTGACAAGCCACTGCTGGAAAGGGCTGGGAAAATTACATCTCGTCTCTGGTGGGGTGAAATATGAAACATGTAATCTAACGGTTCCTGAAGAGGAGGAGGGGGGGAGGTAGAGGGACTTCTCTCCCTCTCCCTCTGTTTCCCTGCTCCGGGTTCCTGGTTGGATAATTTGGGTTAATACTAGTGAGTGAGCCTTTTGCTGCTTCAAAGGGTATTTCAAGTTGCCGGAGCTCCTCCCCTCCGCACCGTGTGACAACAACAACTCGTCCAGAGAGCGAGCGAGCGGCGAGCGGCGGCGGCAGCCTGCACTTCCCAGCTCATTTTCTCTCTGTCATTCCCCTCTCAATCTTTGATCAATGTACTTGCCAGAGAGAACCGAAGTCCTTCAAACCTCCTCCTTTTCACCTTCGTCTTTAACGTGGTGCTAGAGCAAGGACCACAAAAAGAAACTGCCCTCCCCCCTCCCCTCGGCCCCAGCCCCGCCGCCCGGAGCGGACTTCTCCTCCTCCTCCTCCTCCTCCGTCCCCACTTGCGGGACACTTTGTGCGTTTCTCTCTCTCACTCTGCCCCCTGCTCTCTCGCTCGCCGCAGCACCTGATCCGGGGTTATTCCCCCTTTCTTCTCCCCCCTCCTCCCTTCTCCTCTCCTTTCCTTTTTTTTTTTTTTTTAAATTTTTTATTTTTTTATTTTTTTTTTTTAATTTTCCCCTTTCCCCTGCGTGTGTGTGTGGGAACTTTCCCCCCTCCCCCTGCCCCCCTCCGCCGTATATGTGACCATGGCCGTACCGGCTGCTTTGATCCCTCCGACCCAGCTGGTCCCCCCTCAGCCTCCGGTCTCAACTTCTGCCGCCTGCACCACCACCACCACCACCTCCTCCTCCTCGGCGGCGGCGGCGGCCACCTCCTCTCCGTCTCCGTCCATCGCTCCCCCGCCGGCCGCTTCGGGGACAAACCTATTCCGGCCGGAGCCCATCGCAGCGGCGGCGGCGGCGGCGGCCACAGTCACCTCCACCACCACCACCACCGGCGGCGGTAACGGCGGCGGCGGCGGCAGCCCCAGCCTGGGCACCGGCACCGGCAGCACCGGCAGCAGCAGCGGCAGCAGCAGCAGCAGCAGCGGCAGCAGCAGCACCTCCGCTCCCAATGCCAGCGCGGCCAGCGCGGCCAGCAGCCTGCCCGGCAAGCCCGTGTACTCGACCCCGTCCCCGGTGGAGAACACCCCCCAGAATAACGAGTGCAAGATGGTGGATCTGAGGGGGGCCAAAGTGGCCTCCTTCACCGTGGAGGGCTGCGAGCTCATCTGCCTGCCCCAGGCTTTCGACCTCTTCCTGAAGCACTTGGTGGGGGGCTTGCACACGGTCTACACCAAGCTGAAGCGCCTGGAGATCACGCCCGTGGTCTGCAACGTGGAGCAGGTCCGCATCCTGCGGGGGCTGGGGGCCATCCAGCCCGGGGTCAACCGCTGCAAACTCATCTCCAGGAAGGATTTCGAGACCCTCTACAACGACTGCACCAACGCCAGGTAACAGCCGCAAGGCACACGCACATCCCGAGGCACCCCCCCCCGTCCCATTATCCCCCCCCAGCCGCCGCCCCCGTCCCACCCCCACGCCGCCGCTCACTGCTGGGGGGGGAGGGGGGCGTCCTGCGGCCCCATGCCGTCGCCCCCTCTTTTTTTCCCCCCGTTCCCCTCCTGCCCTGGCACCCCACCGGCCTGCTCCGCACCCGGCCGCGCTGCTTCTTGGTGGGACGGGGAGAGCGAAGAAAAGGGTGTTTCTGCCCCCTTCCCTCCGCGCCGCGCAACTGTCGCCTTGTCATTGTCCCCTTCACCCCCCCATCCTCTGGTCCCCCCCCCCCGCCGGGGCGGCCGGGGGCTGCGCAGCGCAGCGCGCAGTTTACGCGGGGGGCGAAGGGTGCGGGGCAGGGGGCGGCAGCAGCAGCAGGGCCCCCCAAAGTGTTTTCTGACGCGCCCCCTCCTCAAGTTCAGCCCTTTAAAATGCACAGCCCTGGGAGAAGGCGGCCTGCAGGGCGCACGGGGGTGGGCGGGGAGCGGTCCTGGGTTTGGGGTCGGGTGTGTGTGTGGGGGGGGGGGGCGATCTTGGGTTTCGCGTCAATCGTTGCCTTCCGGGGCACTTCCCGGGCGGAGAGCCCTATCCGGGGGGGGGGGGGGGTGGGAAGGCCACTCGGCCATCCGCCGCTGTCACGCATCCCAAAGGGCACGTGCACTTTTGTATAGGGCGAGGGGGCAGTTGCCACATGGCGAGAGGGGAGGGAGAGGGCGGGAAGGCGGCGAGGAGGCGCTTTTTTGTGTTTTTTTTTTTTGGGGTGGTCGGGCTGCCCCCCCCCCCCCCCCCCCGGGGGGCTCGGGCCCCCTGGAGCAGGTGCGAGCAGCGCCCGGCGCCCCGGAGCCGGCCGAGGATGGGGGGCGGCGGGGGGGAGCAGGAGTTTTTTTTTTGGGGGGGAGGTTTGGACAGGCTGAGTCGTGGCACCGCGCAGCGTGAGGGGGGGGGGGGGGGGCGCGCAGATTACGCGCACGCCGCCGGGCTGCCCGGCCCTCGCACCCCGCGGGTCGGGGGGAGGAGGAGGAGGAGGAGGGAAGCCCCAAACTCGACAACGACCGGGGAGAAGAAGGAGCTGGCGAAAGAGGAAATTCCTGCTGCGAGAGCTGCCTGCTTTGCAAGCGGGGGTTAAAGAGGGGGGCTGGTGTCTCGCCATCTGTAGGTTACAGGGTTTGGGGCGGCTCGATCAGGAAAAGGGGTCGCAGGAGTGTTGTGACCCGAAGAGCTGAGCCCCCTAGTTCGGCAGGAGCTGGGGGTGGCTCCGGTTTAGGGGTGCTGGGAACTTTACACAGCAGGGAAGGCTCTCCAGTGAGGAGGCTGCAGACAAAGTCTCGATGCTACTTTCAGTATGCGCAAACAGGCAGACCCGGCTCGTTTCGCTTTCTCATCGTCGGATTTCAAGGTGCAGCTACAGCCAGCACGTGGAGAATTAACCCCGTGTGATTCCGTGCTCATTCCCCTTACTAATGACCGGGTGGGGCATTCCCTTCTTCCCCCCCTGACTGAGGGTAGCTGGGACTCCTTAGCATTGAGCCAGGCAGAGCAAAGCACTTACTCTGTTGTTAGACTAATGGCTCAAGTTTCTGTTTTTCGGGGCAGCAAGACAAAACAGCCTGGAGTAACTTCCAAGCTCTGACATAAGTGTAGCTGCATCGGTAACCCTGCCTTGTTTCATGTGGAAGCAACGTGGATCTTAAGAGATGTCTCTGTGTGGCATCTAACCTGTAACTCATCTGCAAGAGTTCAAGATTTGGTCCTTAAAACAAAGTGACACCAGTTCTAGTTTGCCATGCTCATATCATGCGAGAAGTAATTTCAACACATAAAATTAAAAAATAGATCAACTTTTTTTTTTTTTTTTGGAGGGGGGCAGGGTGGAATACAGGGACACCAATTCCTGGACTTGGCAGGGTTATGAAAGGGTTTGGCAGCCTGGTTGTAACACGGGTTGATCATGTCAACAGTACAAAATCGGCTGTGTTTCAACTGTTTCTGAGGTCTGCTGTGTTATCATCCAGCACAGTAGAAATTACAGCAGTGGGTTCAGAAGTGGATAGGGTTTGACCCTTAAAAAGCGTAATTGTAGTAGACGTATTTATGCATCCATTAAGCAAATAACTTAATGGAAAGGATTTACAATAGGTATGCAAAATGTATTATTACAGTATAGACAAATAAAGCAAAGTGGGTCAGTGAGTTTTGGTCAAAATGGATGATACCATTGGAACATAAAACTGTATTTACTTTCAGGGTTTCCCCTCCAACACATTTCATTCTGATTCTTTCCTCACAATTTAATTATTTTTAATTATATCTGACTGTACAGTACTTATGTAGGATATTTTTGTCTACTTGGTTTAGTGATTTACGTGACCTTTCCAGACACTCAGTTACTGTGTACTTTATCTGGGTGATGTCTTTTTGTATCCTGGGTGGACACTTGCTGTTGAGATGGGAGCTGTAAGAGCCAACTCCATCCTAGCGGCTAAATTGTTACAGTCATCAGATTCAAAAATTTCGAACCAGCAACTTATCACTGTTATATTTGTCTCATAATCAGCTGATGCACTTGAATACACTAATCCCTTTTTGGAAAGCTTCATCAAGGTTAATACGTTATTTAATCAAAAAAGGCATCCAAATAAAGCCATTACTTTGTTGTTCTTTAAATGGATTGAATCGTTAGTTGCCAGTTGCTGTGGAAATAATTTGTAATAACTTATTTCGAGATAGAAAAGTTTTAGATGTGTTTCACCAAAATGATGCATTTTAACTGTGATATTGCTATTTAAAAAAATCAATAAAACAAAAATCAATAAAACACCAAGGGATTTTCTATTGAATGCTTAATGTGGAGGTCTGTAAAGTGAATTGGTTTCTGTGTTTATTTGTGATACTACTAATAATAACATGATACTAAAGGACCTTTTTCTAAATTAGGCTTCTGTATCAGTTCACTGGAAAAATAGTCTTCCGTTATGGAAGATGACTTTTCTTTTCTGGTCATACTGACCTTTCCTTTTATTTTCCCTGTAAAAAAAGCATTGGTCACCAAACAGAAATCCAGGAAATAGCAAACTGTGCATTTAGCCTACATTATGATTAAACGGTTTGACATTAATGGGATGCTAGAAAGCCACATGCCAAACAAATAGGAGAAATGTAAAGGAAAAACATGAAAAATATTTAAAGCTATTAGACCCCAATCGAGTCAGGTTTCTTGAATGTGTACGTGAAACAGAGTAGTGAACTGTTCACTGGATGTCACCTGCATAGGATTAATGACCTGGAAGCTATTGATCCCAGATTGTTCTGGTCTCTTGTGTTTCGAGTACTTGTTGTGGAATTTTTCCATGCTGGTCCCTTCCTGGAGTTTTCCCATAGACTTAGACTGGCTTTGGATCATGCCCATTAAAAACTAAAAGCATGCTTTCTTCTGACCTCCCTCCTGTGGCCAGGATATGTTAATCTTTGCTGACATTTGAAGATGATTTGAATGAGTTCATTGACATTCATACTTAAAACAGAGAATTATTTGCACTGTTTGAAGGCTGTTTACAAATTTTGGAGAACAACCCAATTGACTTTGAGTGCAGAGGGGAAAGATGCTGGACATAAAACAGTTCTCTCCAAAGCTTGGTTTACACTGACTGCAGTTACACAGTCTCTCTTTGCTAGATTCTGCTTCTCTCAAATTATGTGGACCTGGCATGTGCTTGTTTACTGAATACTGCACACTTGCATAGTTTTTCTCCTGTTTGTATTAATTAAAGGAGTATCTCACCCAGATAGGCTAGTACAGATCATAGATGTTTTAAACAGGTCAGCAAGTGCAGCTGCAAATAATTTCAAATATATACTATCTGTAGTTTATATTGATGACCTCCCTTGCCGCAGATTAGTAAAATATAATCAGCAGAAATATGGTAGGTTTTACAAGCAAAGAAGTCTTCTGGAAGGCCAGAGGATAAATTGTAGTAACCATAAAGAAGGAGTAAAAGCTTTAGAGGTGGCTCATTCAGGCTTAAAAACCCCTAAAAGACTTCAGCCGCTTGCAATAACAGAACTTTAATACCCATCTCATGGCATTTATTTATTGGTAAATATTATAAATTAGAAGCTGAGATCTTTGGAGCATAATTACTACAACAGAACAGACTATTTATCCCTTTAATCTGATACTTAGTTGCTGGCAGTAGCCCAGTATCTGATACTTGAGGAAGGGAACATTTCTCCCCAGTGAATGTTCGCAGTCCGTTGTGCAACGCTGCGTGTGCTGTTCGTGTGCAGGGCTGGGAAGGGCTGGTGGTGATGGGCACAGATAAATTTCTTCCTGGTTGATTCACTTTTTTTTTTTTTTTTTTTTTTTTTTTTTTTTGTGAAGTATTCAATTTGATTAACTTCTCCTTTGTCTTACAGCTATTTATATATATATATATATATTTTTAAGAAATCTTATATAGAAGTTTATATATAAGTGCATGTGTTTTTTTTGTCAATTTTGCATCAGCATTACTTAAGAGAATGGACTATATGAAAGCACAGTGAAATATACTTGCCAGCAAATAAATAGGTTTTCTATTTCCACAATCTCTCTCCACCTCTGCCCGAATACTAAGTTCACATTTAGGCCTATGCTCCCTTTTCGGGGCTGCACACATAATGAGTGAGGCTCTTCAGCCTGTCCGGGGCGCTTGTTTTCACTCTCCTGATGTCTGCTGAAGGGAAGAGTGCTGGTGAAAACGTTAGCAGTGCAACTTACGATGCTTGTTTGTTGAACTCGCCGAGCCTTCCCTTGCGCTCAGCACCAGCCCTCGCCGGCGGCAGGGGCGCGGACGGGCGCACCCGCGGAAAATGCCCCCTGTTGGCAGCATCCGCACCCGCAGCCGGCCTCTGGGAGCTGCTGCTTCTCAACAATTGATGAGCACGGCCCGAAGTAATGTCATTTACTCCTTGCGTGCCT